AAAAAAAAAAAGCCTTAAATTACTTTTACTGGTTTGTTTACACACCAACCATGAGGCAAAGTAAGAAATCCAGGTGCACAGATGATTGTCTCCAATTACTAAGAAACATTAATACATCAATTTAACTGCACTGCTTATACAGAAAGTTATCAAATAAATTCTTTTTACTTATTCAGAGTTTTGAGGGCAGAACATAGAAACAGAGCTGGCCTTAGGGAAATGGTGCCCTGGGGGACCTTGTATTTTGGTGGCCCTGCCCCTCCCCAAGTCAGGGGAGGCAGAAGCAGGCAGGGAGGGGTACAGGGCACAGTCTGGCAGGGAGGTGGAGTGGCATGGTATGCTGGACAGGTGGGTAGGCAGAAACCACGGCTGCCACCCATACTGCCTGTCTCAGCTCCTCCTGAGCAACAGCTGGAGGTAGGGGGCAGGCTGGGCTGGACACTGCTCCTCTTGCTTGGGGAGGCAACTGGCTGGGGCAAAGGTAGATTGCTGCTGTGAGCACAGGCTGCTCATGTGTGTATGTGTGTGCATGTGATGCACACCTGACCATGGTGCCCTGGGTGATCACCCATGTTGCCCACCCCTAAGGGTGGCTCCACATATAAATTATTTAGACACTGAAGATTAGCTGCATATGGATACTTCTCAGTCATTCAATGTATAGCGGAAGCAGCTTTAGAATTAAAAACATAATGCGCTTCACATTTAGGGCTGAAGGCTTACTTAACATGCTGAGTCTCATTCACTTCAAATGCAATAAATTGTAGGACCAGGGTCTTATTTTAAAAGGGCTTTTGAAGCCCAGCTGTAGATTTAATGCAAGAAATACTGACTTTCTTCAATGCACCATTAGTCAAAATTAATTTGCCAAACTGATGTAGTATAATGTTGAGCCAAACTTTAAATTATACATTTTTGTTACAAGAGGAGTAATGAAAGCCATTTACCTAAAAGTGCATTTTTTCCATGATCATCTGGCAAAAACCGCTTGTCAACAGCACACACTAGAATGTGCTCAGGAAGATTTGGAGACTTGGCTCCTACCAACAGGAAGCCTGCTGGGATATCAATTTGTTCCATACACAGGGATACTAACCGCAAATCCTTGCCTGCTTGACAAAAACCTAAAAAGGAAAGACACGTGATGAAACTTTATAAGGTTTGTGTTCATTATACAAAATAATTAAGAAAAATACTTACTGTTTTGAGATTATATCTACTTTTTAAAAAATAGACATTTAAGAAAATAAGTAAATTCTGTACATGTTTCATTATCCTACTTGTTTGAGGTCTAATCTAAGTCAACAGAAAGATTCATACAGGCCTCCAAGGAACTGGGATGAGGCCCACAACAAGGGGCTCAGATCTGCTAGCCGAGAGAATATAAATAACGTATTTGGCAGGGCACCTGAAATGCTTCAAAATGAAGATTAACAAAACTATGAAGAAATCACATGGCTAAAAAAATAGATAAATTTTCACTGTTCATGCCCAGTTTTAATAGCACAACTCAGAAGAAGTTGTAACACACTCAAAATTACAAGAAAGCCCCATGGTAAGTGAAACTGATTTAGTATTTCCTTTCCCCCTATACAATGTACATCATTTCAACCCAAATTTAAAGATATTGAGAATTCATAACAACAGAGTTCTTAATTTATTACCAATAATTTTCTTTATCTCAGTCTTTATATTGCAAAGTTTTCAAATGAGATTCTCTATCTTGGTGTCTTGTACCATGTTGACCATATTATTGGTACTAAACAAAATATATTAACTATAAGAAAAGAGGTAGGCATAAATCCAGTGTAATAAAAAATGCTTCAAAATCAATTTTGAAACTTCACCTCAACATATCTGGGTGTTCTTCATTAAAGGTATGAGAAAGGTTTCAATAATACATTATTCAAAAAAGAGTTTGGGTATTTTTTCACCTTTTATTTTCCATGTATATTCCATCTAGGTATGGATTCGGTCTATATTACTATATTTTATGCTGGTGGTTATCTGATCTGCTCCATTTATTGAAATTTATAATTTGGCTGAATACATTTCTTATTAAGGGAAAGACCAAGCTAAAAAGTGTGTTTTTCAGGAGAGTCTGAGCTTTTCTCTTGTGCTTTTTAAACAAAGTTTGTTTAGTTGTTATCTCTTTCTTAAAGGTATTTTTCAGAATTAAAAATTTGCTTACTTTACACTTTCAAGTAATGGAGACTGTTTAGGTCTTCACTTTATTCATTTTTTCGTATATTATAGGGAATCTAAGATAGCCAAGGTTTTGGTTGTCAGAATAATTTTCAGCACTGTTTCAATATGACTTATCTCTACAATGAGTAAATAGCAGAAAATCATGTTGGAAGCTGAAACTTCATAAGCACAACAACTCCTCATGTTCCAAACACCAATTCAAGTGAAGTGAGGTCCAAAGAAGTTGAAAATTTTGGACACAACTGTAAGTGACCCAACAACTCATACTGAAACCATGGTGGGCAAAATGCGGCCTGCAGGGCCCCTAAAAAGTTTAGAAAATTAATATTT